GCTTATAAAATGAATAGTTTGAGCCAATGTTGGGACTCCAGCTTTGCATAGAGATATGTGGGTTGGATCTATGACTGTGTGCCATTCTACATCTCGAGAGAGTACCTTAAATAAGCTATTAGTTGTAAAGATAAGTGATTTATAAAGCAAGCTATAGAACTATGCCGTAGCATGCTGTCTACTTTTAGATCGGTTTAACATCTTAACGAATCCCTACACCCCAAGCTCTTTTCTAAAACTTGTTCACAGCAGTAGTGTTTAATCAACTCACCACAAATATTTCCTCGAATTCACCATCTGAAATCTTATCTTTATTTTTACTATTAAAACGAACTTTTATTCCTTTTTCCCGTGGACGATACTCGGTATTTTTACCACTCTATTACTTGTTAAAGACGATAGTGGGTTGATAAGTGTATACTTGCACTAGTCTCCATTTATTAGCAGTCTGAGAGATTTATTCTATATAAATCGCGTAACAATGATTGCTTATTTTGAAGATACATGTTGTTATACATGTGTTATTACATGATTTTATTTTGGGATTTTTCATATGTAGATTTTATACATATAAGAATCCTTGTACTAGTGGGACCAATGTGGTATAAATTGTATTTCTTTTGAATAAAATATGTGTTATATGCAAATGTGGTGTTTTGAGGTGTTACAGTCTGGTTCTCTCAATATGATTGTTCGTATTTCATGCTTCTTATGGTTCTATTTCATGCTTCATGCTTCTTGTGGTTTGATGTAGCGTCGTTTGGGTTGGGTTGCTCATTCCTACTTTTTTGAATATTTCAACATCAATCATAATCATGTCTCCATTATGTGCTGGGATGTTGAAACTTTTATTTTCAATCAACTTGTTTTGTATTCATAATTGATCTACTTGGTTCCCAAATAAACATGAGCCTCAACCAAGTAGGTAGCTTAACATAATTTTTTTTTTATTGAACTCCATTCTTTTAGGGTGAATAAGAAATTGACATAGACATTTTATTCGTTCTTTTTGAATTCAAGTGTTCAACCTTGCATACAACTTTAGTTTTCTTCTTTTCTCCTTTTAATACACGAATAAAGATGGAAAAGAGAATTGTAGATGTTACATGTGTATTCATTGTTATCAATGCCCTTTTTTATAGTTGAATGAAAGAAGGTTCATTTTTTTTCTTTCTTTGACTTGCATGAAGTTTTCATATGATATTTGATTATTAATTTATAAAGTGAAAGACTTTGTAACTCTTGATTAAGTCAAAGTTTCAAATACCCATTATGTACTCTGAGTTTACTTGAATTTGAATGGGAAATGGAGGTCTAATTGGCTTGAGGAAACCGTGTGCACATCCATCATTTCTTATTGTTTAGTAAAGCAAATAGAATATGAATCACTCTTGCATGCAGTTTCTGCTTCTTTTACTCTGATGCAAACCATTGGAGCAAGAGTTTTCGTTTCTATAAAGCAAATAGTTATTTGAACCAAGTAATGGAAGCAAGTGGGACTTTTTAGCAATGATATGGTAACTTCTATTAGTTGAAGCAAGTAATAGTTCCATTCTATTTACCTTTTTAAGACTGATATATTTAAAGGTCAATTCCCTAGGTTTATCTAGAAATTGCCCATGAAAGAATGCATTTAAAATTTTAGGCAACTTTGTAAGAATGAAGCAGTAAAAGATTTAGTCACTTTTATACCTAATTATGAGATTGTCTCTAATTAAAATTATGTCTATGAATCATTACTGGAGGACGCTTCAAAGTTAATATTGATTCCAGAGATCAAAGAAATATCAAATGAATTATGAGAGTGCATATGAGTCGATGAACATATCATACATAGCCATTGATGATATATCATGTATACAGTTGTTCATAAGATGATAGAGCACGATGACATCGAACCATGCTCAGTTGAAAAATGTCAACGAAGAGCAAATATAGTCTAACAATCCAAGAAAATTATACTACTTGACAAATGAATAGGTATTTGGTCAGGTAGTGCTAACCTATCAAGTATAAATCCTGTAGGACATAGATAAATCATTTGTCAGAAAACGTAATGAAAATAATTAAGTTATAATGTATAAGTATCTTCTTTGGCGGAAGATTTTTTCACAACGCACTGGATTGACCACGAGAAGACTTACTTTCTTATGATGGATGTTATAACGTTCTGCTAATTAATTAGCTTAGTAGTTCCCGAATGACTGAAAATGAAGCTCAATGATGTGGTTACTACATATCTCTATGGGGATCTAGATTCAGAGATATATAAAAGTGTCTCATGACATTATATTACCCAAATCAAATAACTCTAAACGTAGAGTGCGTTTGCAATAAAATTGAAACACTCACTTTATAGATTAAAGTAATCTAGGCGGATATTGTATAATTGCCTAAGTGAATACTTGATTGGGAAGGGATATAAGAACGATGAACCATGCCCTTGTGTATTTATAAAGTAAACGAGTTCTAGACTTTCAATCATAGCTCTATATGTCGTTGCTATGAACATAATATATACTCTTGATGAAATAAGAGAAACCACAAGCTACTTGAAATCGAAATTTGAGATGAAAGATCTTGGGAAAACTTGGTTTTGTCTAGCTATTTGAGCTAGGACAACGAGTTTGTGGAATATTATTCCATCGATCCATATATATCCAGAAAATGATCAGACGATTTAATATGGAGAAAATGCATTCGGCTAGCACTCCCATGATCGGTCAGAGTGTTGGATATAAAGAAAGATCTATTTCGTCCAAATGATGATGATGAAGAGGTGTTGGGAGCTGAAATTCCCTATCTAAGTGTAATAGGCGCATTTGTGTTTAGCACAATGTACTCGACCAGATATTGCATTCTCAGTGAACTTCTTAGCTAGATTTAGCTCGACGCCAACACAACGTCATTGGAACGGTATCAAGAATATATTTCGATACCTAAAAAGAACCATCGACATGAGCTTATTCTTTCCTTACAATGAAAAAATGGGGTTACAATACCTATTAAAGAACAAAGAAAGCGTTATCTCGTACATTGAAACCCTAAATGATATCTTAATAGGCTTTGCTGATGTTGGGTATCTTTCTGACCCACACAAAGGCCGTTCCAAAAAGAATACGTTTTTACAATTGGGAACACAATGATTTCTTGGAAATCTACCAAGCAAAGCCTTAAAGCTACCTCCTTGAACCATTTAGAGGTTATTGCTCTACATGAGGCTGTTTGAGAGTGTTTATAACTAAGGTTTGTCAATATACATATAAGAGGGCTAGTGGTTTAAGTTTAACCACTCAAAATCATACATGCATATATGAAGATAATGCAACTTGTATCAAACAAATGAAAGTAAGATATATCAAGGGTGATAATACAAAACATATTTCGTCAAAGTTTTTTCTATAATCAGCAACAACAGACTCTCCCCAAGATTCAAGTGAATCAAACAAGGTATGAGTAGAATGTGGCTGATTTGTTTACCAAATCACTGCCTAAGGCCACATTTGAAAAACATGTGAAAAACATTGGAATGCAGAGACTTTCCAAACTCCCTTGATTAACGTACGTGTCAGGGGGAGTAATAGACAAAAATGAGTCTACTATACATGTGATAATGGTATATTGTGCTCTTTCATTCACCCAATGTTTTATTTTCCCCAATGAGTTTTGTTCCTTGGTGTAAGGTTTTAGTGAGACAACAATTTATATACCATATTGCTTTCCTAACACTCATGATCAATATATGAATCTGACTGAATATTAGACCAAAAGGAAAAGTCTATGTATTGCAAAGAAATTGGTGCGTTGTACTCTTTTATTCGTCCTAATTTTATTTTTTCCCACTGGGTTATTATTTTGGCATAATGTTTTAACGAGGCAACAATTGTGCATTATTAGTCATTTGACTCAACACAAGGGGGGAATGTTGTAGGATAAGTGTGTCACCGTCTAAAGGATACAACGATAGAGATAAATATATCATAGTTAAATTAGAAGTGAAATATTTCGTAGTTATTTACTTGTAACTTATTCCTATAAAAAAAGCTTATGATAAATGAAACTTACATATTCATTCTGGCTTTTCTATTGATGATATTTTCAGTTGTTTTATAACACTAAGGTGGCGTTTATTTTTTAAGAAGTGCTGAAGTCTGAAGTCTGATTCCACTTCTGATTTTTAAGAGGTGGTGCTGAAGTCTGAAATCTGAATCAGTCAAACTGTTTGTTTTTGTAAACTGACAAACGTCTGAAGTCTGAAATCTGAAATCTGAATCAATAGTTTGCTTTTGTAACCAACAAAACATATGAATATGTATAATTTCTTATTTCACTTCTGTTTATGTTCCCAAGATTCCTTTAATTCTTCCTTCTCCTCYACATCAAGTCTTCCATCCTCAATCTCCACCCTCATCCCACCACCATCAACCACCATCCACCACCACTCCTTCTCTAAAATCCAACGCCCAAATCCACTTCTAAAATCGAAGCAAATCTCCATCACGATGAAAACTACAGGAACGAAAATACCTTGATTCACGAGGATAAAGGTACACAACTACTGGTTTGCACAGTGGCAAAAACCCACAGTGGCGAAAACCCACAGAGAAGAAAACCCTCTTGATTTGGATCTGATTTGGGTCGATTTGAAGCCACCAGAGGCGATGGAGGGTGAAGTCGATCGATTGAGACGGTAAAGAGGGTGAAGTCGATCGATTGAGAGGGTGAAGTCGATCGATTGAGAGGGTGAAGTCGATCGAATGATGAAGTAGAAATCAGTTCTCTGGATAGTTTTTAGGATTAAGAGGAAAATAAGTGGCTAGGTTATCACTTAATTTTTAAGAAGAAAATAAGTGATAAGTGGCTCTGAAAAAAAAAAAAACAAACAGTCTGAATTGCCTTATGTCTGACCGAATCAGACATAAATGGTAAAATAAAAGGTTTTTTCAAAAAACAAACACCACCTAACAATAATTTCATAAATTGATTACGTGCCGGTCACATATCGTCTTTCCTTGTGCACCACGGCTAGACTGTTAAACCACCCGACTTTCCAAATTTCCAATTCTATCCTTGTATTTGTTTTCATATTGCTACCCTAATCCAACTCTCTCAAAACACACTCATCGGCCGCCATTTCCATCACCTTCCAAAAACCCTAACGCCATTTTAACTATTGTTCCACACAGCTTATCCAACAATGGCGGATTCGGCTAATAACGTCTCAATCGATGACTCTACTTCTGCTTCATCGGAACCGGAAGTTGTAAGCAAGAAGTGAGTTTTTTATTTTTACTACAAGCATTTAGACGTTACATTTTAGAGAGATTCTAAGATATATTGATAATTTGTTTTGTTTTTTTATCAAGTGCTCGCAAGAAGGAGTTGAAGAACAAACAGAAGGAGGAAGAGAGGCGTCGCAAGGAAGAGGAGAAGGAGAAAAAGGTGAATTAAGCTTGTTCCAGTGTTAACATTTAGACCGATGTAGCTTTGACTTCAGCTTATTGACGCATGGATGGTAATCAAAATACTCAGTGGATTAATTTGAAAACCCTAGATTGTGTGAAGACTAGGAACCTAATTAAATTGTCAATGCCTCTGAAATTCTGCATGTAGTGGGGTTTCCGGAATTTGAATACACATACAGGAATTTGAATACACATACAACACGACTTAAAATGCTTGATTAATGTCGGTGAAATACTAATAGTAGAGCTACTTAACAGACAGCTATGGAGAAAAATGTAAATAAGGCTTGCTGGGTTCAAAATTTAAATTCTAGGGAGTAGATGCTTGTTTGATAAGGAGTGAGCTATAAAATGATTATAGACCTTGATGGAAAGGGTTTCAGTTGCTTGGTTTGATGAAATGTGGTATGCATCATCTCTTTTTTGCTGATGTTGTCAAGAACACTGCAATCTGTGTGGATGTTAAGTCCTCAAGGAAAGGCAAGCTTACAAATGAATTTTACTGTTGTACCATAGAAGTTTAGTGCCTGTTTCTTAGCAGCTTAATGAGCTTAATGGAGCTCACAGATTATTCGGTCAGCTATACATGACTGTTGGAAAAACGTTCTTCCCAACTAAAAAACATGCTCCTTCCATCTATGACAAAACTCTCCCAAACAAAAACCTTCTCCATCTATACAGATAGATTAATCCATATAGACAACTTTATTCCTACAGGATTTGATGGAAAACCAACCAAACAGCCCCTACTGTAACATATGTTTTGGTGTAAGCTGATTGCTAGGATCAATATCGACATTAACCTGGTTTGTTTTGGTGGTCTTTGGAACTACAACTCTCTTCCTTCTAAATTAACTACAATCATTGTGTTCCTTTGTGCTTCAATAATGCATGAAGAAAGTGGCTATGTAATTGCCAAGAGATAGTAATTAACAGAGTCTTAATTTGTGTCTCTAACAACCCAGGGACTATGTAGTTACTTAAGTTTGTTCTACATTTGTCACTCAAAGTTCTAAGTATCATCATGGTATTATGTTTTTCGCAGGCTGCCAGCATGCCAAAATCAGCAACTCAGAAGCAGTCTGCTGCAGATGACGAGGACATGGATCCAACGGTATAATTTTTATTTTGATTATTTATATCAGAGCTGTCTCCATATACCTATTGACACGAGGCACCTTAAAAAAATAAGGCAAGTGCTTTAGGTGTTTGTATAATGCAACCATTCTACCCTTATGAACTGAAATAACTCCTTGCTACTTTCGGAAGCAGGAGTGCTACAGTTCTTTTTCAAATCCTTCAATTGGGTGCTCTAGGTGGTGGTACTTTGACTGTGTTTTCAAACTGGGGACCTGGGGACCATGCATATGGGGCTTAAGGGTGTGTAGTTTTAGGCATTCCTTAGAAAATGGAAACGTTAATATCGAAAAGGCAAGATTTTAAAAACCAAGGTCAATTGTGGTGGGAAGGAGTGGATACTGTTAGGGGGGAGTGGGTGTGGGAGACGGAGAGTATATGGGGTGGAAGAAAGAGATCAATTATTTTGGTTCCAGAAGCAGTTTTATTTACATGTCCAAAATGCAGCATCACGCACAGAGCATGGGAATACCTTTTATTTGGTCATATAAAAGGTACACTTTCAGGTTAGAGGTCAAGCTGTCTTCTTTTAAGTTCAGAACAAATTCCTAAACAAATTGAAAGCTCATTAAGGTTAAATTTGACAGCAATTTGGAGGACCTCAAATGTTAGTTTGCACCTTAATGGGGCATATAGTGATTTTGAAAGTTATTGATTCCTTCTCATGGATGATCATTTTTGGCTAGAAAAACAGTAGTTTGATCTCAACTGAAGTGTTAGTTTGCACCTTAATGGGGCATATAGTGATTTTGAAAGTTATTGATTCCTTCTCATGGATGATCATTTTTGGCTAGAAAAACAGTAGTTTGATCCCAACTGAAGTGTCTTTATGATCATTCTGTAGGGAGTCAAAGTTCACCTAGCATGGGACTTTTCTTTACTTTTCAGTCATACGGGATATATAAACAGCATGATGGAGAATGTATCGTGTTGTTTTTTTTCATTGTAAGGAAGTTAGATCCTCAGATCTCTAGAACCTTAGCTGGAATTCTTATCTTAACTTGGTTTTTTGTACCAAACTTGTTATGGTATGTTGGAAGTGAGACGAGTGTTTTTGCTGTCTATTCTTTGTACATCATATACATGCTATTGTGGGAAAACGGACCCAAAATAAGGCATTGCACTCGATTTTGAATTTTAATTTAGACTGGAGATCGTTCTAATCTGGACTTATGTTTGAGATTTTGGACTTATGTTTGAGATTTTGGAAAAGCAATTTATTCTTGCTAATGCTTAAGGCTAACAGTTATTGCTTATGATGAGACTCTAAACCCTTTTAAATATATACTCTTTAAATGTTAGTATGAACTTGTTATTAAACCACACATGGTTATCAAACTCATCTCTTCTTTGCTTGCAGCAATATTTTGACAATCGGCTGAAAGCACTTGCAGCTCATAAGGCAGCAGGAATGAATCCCTATCCTCACAAATTTCATGTCTCAATGTCCATTCTTGAATATATAGAGAAGTATGAAAGCTTAAATAGTGGGGATCATCTGGAGGATGTTCAAGTATCTTTGGCTGGTGAGCAAAATTTGGTACATGACCTCATGCATAAATTTCCTTCTTTACAATGATGCTGATAATTGCACTCTTGCCAGGGCGACTGATGAACAAACGGTCTTCTTCATCAAAGCTATTCTTTTATGATTTGCATGGTTCTGGTGGAAAAGTGCAAGTTATGGCTGATGCAAGGTAACCGAGCACTTACCTCGTTTGTATACATGCTTTGTTGCAAGAGTATTTTATAGCACAAGGTAGCTAGTGATGCAAATTTTTTATTGCCTTAACAATGCAGTTTATCTTCATTTTTTAACTCTAAAATGTATATTATTGTATACTGATGGAAAATTTTACTCTTTTTCTGTTCGGTGGGAATTGATGTCTTATTATTAGAAATGAACCAGTAAAGTTAGACTAAACTTACTGGCAATTGATTTTAATTTTTAATTGCCTAGACAGGTGTAGTTTTACCTGTTGCCCAATGACAATTTACTCAAAGATTGTGTTGCAAAGCATAAGCTGCTAGGAACTTTTAGAATGTTGTTAAACACTGGGCTTCCACTACTAAAACTTATATTTTACCTTTCTTTCTCTTCGTTCTTAGTTTTACTTTGAGCTGATACCTGGAAAAGAAGCTTGATGTGTAGGATATGTAATAGAGAAACATTTTGCATTTATCGGAAAGAGGGCATTGTACCTATGGTAGAGGAAGAAACAGAAGTGTCTTTCAACCTGCATTTTTCTTTCTAGGCAAAGTTCAAAATTGCATCTCGGGTATAGGCACCCTTTTGATGAATGCAGACATGATACACTTCCATATAGTTATTCTTGCTCAAGATTTCACAGCACCATATAAGCAATGTGCATTTATTGGCAAATTGAATCTTGTGGAAAGTCAAGATCGGACAATTGAAGCATAGGGGGACTGAAATGGTATTTTATGTGCATAATGTTCTGGTCTGGCTGAAATGCTGCCGAGTTGAGTGGTCAACTAGTGTTGGTTAGGAAGCTCTTTTTGTATGGATCTTGCTGAATAATTGGACTGACATGCCTTAACCCTGAATCATTCTTTAATTCTGTGTCCATTTGTATTATTTGTGAAGTTGTTTTTTCTTTTGATGGGGTATTTCTTATGAATTATGAACTGTATAAAATTGACATTTACTGAAGTACACATGTTTTTGCAGGAGATCTGATTTGGATGAAGCTGAATTCTCCAAGTACCATTCTGGTGTGAAACGTGGAGACATTGTTGGTATCGTCGGATTTCCAGGTGTGCAATTTCGACTTCCATTTTTTGCTTTGTTGAAACTTGTTTAATTTTATTCTAGTTGTTGAGATAGAGTGGGAGATGAAGTGTTGTTTATCCTGTTTACAGAATTTGTTTATTTTGCCAATTTACATTAGATAGTGTGCCATTATTTGGATTACAGTTTTTATTATTGTCACTTTATTTTGTTAGGAGTCTATTTTGTTGTCTCTGGCATCGATTTACTTTACTTGGGTTTGGATCATTCCTTTATCACCTCTACCCTACTTTATTGGGGACTCTATTTTGTGTTTGTCTCTACCATCTGTAGTAGTTTAATCACTCCGAGCAAAAAGTCTTGGAACTTGTTAATTTTTTAATCCTAATTTTACTCATGTGTGGCCCAGTCACTTTAAGATAAATGTAAAGGTGTTTGTGTTCAGGATTGTCACTTGTTTTAATGAATCTCCTGTCATCGATGTAGTTGATATCATCTGTTTACTGTGGATTCAGGTAACTTTTTCTTAGTTCTACATTGTCTCATCTTTTTTTCCCAATGGCAGGAAAAAGCAAAAGGGGAGAGCTGAGTATTTTTCCAAAATCATTCACAGTTTTATCACACTGTCTTCATATGATGCCAAGGCAAAAAAGTGCAGCCGTTGCGGATAATGCCAATACAAAGGTGGAACTTGTTATATTAACTTGTTTGTTGCTGTCTGGCTTCTTTGCTGACTTGGTATTGCATTCTTCTTCTACAGAAAGTTGACGTTTGGACTCCAGGAAGTGGTAGAAATCCTGAAGCATATATATTAAAAGACCAGGTATTGATATAGCTGTTGTTGCATGTGGCCTTTCTCTCTTTTACCCCTTAACCCAATCAATGTGATTCTGTGTTGTAGGAAACACGATACCGTCAACGTTATTTGGATCTGATGGTAAACTCGGAAGTCAGACATATATTCAAGACCCGAGCAAAGGTCGTCTCTTATATCAGACGTTTTCTTGACAATCTTGATTTTTTGGAGGTAAAGTCATTACCTTATTTTTTCATTCATATTGTTCCATCACTATGGTATCAGCTTTGCTTTCTTTTTTCTTTCTGTGGCTAATTATATTTTATTCAAGGTTGAAACTCCCATGATGAACATGATTGCTGGTGGAGCGGCTGCACGTCCATTTGTGACCCACCATAATGATCTAAACATGAGATTGTTCATGCGCATTGCTCCCGAACTTTATCTGAAGGAGCTTGTTGTTGGTGGACTGGAGCGTGTATATGAGATAGGAAAACAGTTCAGAAATGAGGGGATTGATTTGACACACAATCCTGAATTTACTACGTGCGAATTTTATATGGCCTTTGCGGACTACAATGACCTGATGGAGATAACTGAGAAAATGTTGAGCGGTAAGTCTTGAACTTTGGCTGTAAACGTGTGGGTACAATGCAACAAAGTTATTTTTAGTTCCTATTTAGTGGGCTATAAACACGACTTTCACGTCATCAAATGTTACAAAATCACCAAGTTATTGGTCAAAATGGGTAAAACATAGAAAACTTTGATACTTTGTTACATTAAGTAGGATGATTTGAAGCTTTGTTACGTTGATGGAGAACTTATTGTGTTACACTAAATATGAACTAATGCAAACTTGCATTTCGGCCTTTAATATGTTGCTTACTTCTTGGTTTTATTTGAAGCCACACTTGTTTTACTGGTTATGTTCACTAACACATAATGAACCAGGCATGGTGAAGGAGCTTACAGGTGGCTACGTAATTAAATATCATGCCAATGGGTTAGATAATGATCCTATCCAGATCGACTTCACTCCTCCTTTCAGGTCATTTGCTTACTATCCCATAAATTTGACTTAATTTTACTACATTTTTATTAACATGTTTTAAATGTTTCCAGAAGGATTGATATGATTGGGGAGTTAGAGAGGATGKCAAATCTTAGCATACCCAAAGACCTTGCGGGAGATGAAGCCAATAAATATCTTGCTGAAGCATGCACAAAGTTTGATATCAAATGTCCCCCGCCTCAAACAACAGCACGGTTGCTAGACAAAGTAATGATTCTTAAATTCTTTAGACAATATCAGAACAAATACTACCATATTGTTCAACATGTTTGGATTGCATAACAACTTACCTTAGGATTACATATTGGATTAATGAAGGCACATTCATCTACATTTAGTTTGTTGATCATGTAAACTATTACTCTCTCTGTCCCAAAATAAGTGTCAACATTTCAAATTTAGTTTGTCCCAAAATAAGTGTAACAGTTTTATTTTAGTTTGTCCCAAAATAAGTGTCCATTTTCAAAAAGAAGTGCCTACTTTTAGTTCTATCCTTAATTATGAGATAGAGAAATTTATTATTTACTTCTATGATTAAGGGTAAAATTGTCATTTAGTTGATCAAAAATTATAATAATTACATGTTTCTAAAACTGTCTTTTTCATTGTGGACATTTATTTTGGGATGGAGGGAGCAATGTTTTAGTGAGGTTAGCTTTTGCTTAGTTTATATTGACCTGTTACCACTTTGCTAACAGCATACTGTGTTATTTCGTTAAATTACTTGTGTGCAGCTTGTGGGACACTTTTTGGAGGAGACATGTGTCAATCCTGCTTTTATAATTAACCATCCTGAGATAATGAGTCCGCTGGCAAAGTGGCATCGATCCAAACCAGGCTTGACTGAACGCTTTGAATTGTTTATCAACAAGCATGAGGTACACAACTAGTTTTAAGGTCGCTTTGATATCTCCAGTTCTTGATCCAATTGTTTTTTTAATCCATCTTCAATTCCTCAGCTCGCCAATGCATACACCGAACTCAATGATCCAGTGGTTCAACGCCAGCGATTTGCCGATCAACTAAAGGTACCACACATATACGCCGTCATTTATATGTAAAAGAAGTGTTGCTAAATTTATCTTTTCACTGTTTCAGGATCGACAATCAGGTGATGACGAAGCAATGGCTTTGGATGAGACGTTTTGTACGGCTCTTGAATATGGTTTGCCGCCAACTGGTGGTTGGGGTTTGGGTATTGACAGACTTGCAATGTTGCTGACTGATTCACAGAACATCAAGGTTTGTGCTTTTCTCGCGTTATTTAGGCAATGTTTGGCAATCATAAGCTAACTTATCGAAGTAGCATTTATAACAAGCTTGAGGGATTTTTTTTCCAATTATGCTCCCTTATTTTTTTCTAACTAATTTTTCCAACATGTCGTTTTAGGTTAGCTTATCCGCTACCAAAAGCAACTATTTTATCAGCTAACATCTAACTTTTTCAGTTAGTTTCCTAAAATAGCCTTGGTACCCTTTTTTTATTAACCTGGATATCCAACCCGCTATGCGAGCCGACTAATCCCAGGGCGACCACCTGCTTTGCAGATAGCCCGGAGTCACCGCATTTGAACCTCCGTGGCCACAAGGGGATTTTTATTTCTCCTTGGATTTGAAYCTRRGWCCTCYYGGTACTTTTGACCTTTGGAGCCAAGCTCAAACCAATCAGGCACCACCCTTGTGGTTTAGCCTTGGTACTGTTGTATTCTGTCATTCATAGTGTTCTTATTTTGGAGGGTTTAAACTTGTTTCATCTTTCTTTTGGGGAAAACAGGAAGTTCTACTTTTCCCGGCCATGAAACCTCAGGACGAAGTGCCCCCTGTCAAAGGTACGGACACAAATCCCTCGTCATATTCTGCGTTTGTTTGGTGGGGGCATCAATTAACTTAGTTGATGATTCACAGGTGCAGAAATCGTGAAAAGTTAAGCTCATCATATATACTTTTGCGGGCAGGGTTCTACCAAATTTTGTTCAGAACGTTTCATTGCGGCACACGCTCTTTTACGACCTGACAAGTCTTCTTTACTTTTAGGTGTCGTGATCGGATGCCAAAAACTTAAGATGAATATATAGCCCAGCCGTTAATTGGCCTGCTTTTTCTATTCTAGTTTTTTTCATATTTGCCAAATTCAAAATTATGTGTGTCAAGGACCTCACAGTTTGGTGGTTTGCATGGATCGTTTTCAGGAAAGTGGGCCCCACCTAATGATATTAATGGGAAATTTGCACTAGCGTAATCTTTTTGTGATTTAGTTGGGTTGCATTGGTTGTATAAATGGACATGGTTGCATTTGAAATATACCTTTTATATATATATATATATATATATATATATATATATATATATATCATATTTACATAATTACAGCCCTTATAAATTTATAATTTACAACCCGAAATTACAGAATTACAATCATTTAGTAAATATACATGTTACAGCCCTTAATTGACTATGTATAGGAGCAATAGATAATACTCCTAAACCTCCAAAAATCAAAGATGAACCAAACTCGTCTAAGAAAATGGGTGGTAGAACTTTGAACGTTAGGGACTATAGATGAAAGTTTTCAAGTTATTTTGAGGAGAAAAAAAAATGATAAGAAGATGACTGGACCACCTAGTTCAAGTGATTCGGAGTGTGTTTTTGACAAATTTTTGTCCACTTTTTACGATGTTACTTTGAAGATTAGTGGCAAATTGCTCGTAACTTCCTTTGTCGCATCATATAAATGAGACAACCTAATCTCATTGCATCAACAATATAATAACACTTTTTATCGCATAAAACACATAGTATACCAACTTGTCGCATCTCATTTATGCGATAACACATTTCCTCGCATCGTTCAGATGCGATAACCCCCTTTTGTCGCATCACACACATCGATAACCCCAACTCCTCGCATCATTCAAATACGATAACTTTACTTGTCACACCTTAAGGATGTGATAAAAACAACACTTTAAGTCCATCTCAAACTCATTGCATCAGACACATGCGATAAATTTCAATCACATCGCATCATATAGATGCGATAACAATAACCAAGATCAAAAGATCATCAGTCACAAGAAATTGATTATGCCTTATATCAGTATACCCAACTCCTGATTATGCCACCCTTGTATCAGTATACCCAACTCCTGATTATGCCACTTTTATTACAAAATATACCAAACTCCTGATTATGTCACCCTTATTACAATATACACAACTTCTGATTATGCCACATTTATTACAAAACATACCCAACTCTTGATTATGCCACATTTATTACAATCAGTTGATAATAACATATCAAAACTCAAATTATGCTAATAGATAACATATAATCATATTCAAAAACACCCAAGTACGAACCCATACGGTTCCATGTAAAAATGTTTCAAATAAAGCTTTGAAATAAAAATTCACCTTGAAACACTTCCGGTTAATGGTACAGCCAAATTCGGTTCAGCCAAACACTTTCGCAGATTCAAAATATGGAGTGTTGTGAATATCACTAAGCTCTTGTGGTAAATCTAGTCAATACGCTACTTCACCAACCCCGATTACTGATCTTGAATGACCCAATATATCTCGGACTCAGTTTACCCCTCTTCCCAAAACGTACAATCCCCTTCCAAGGTGAAAATTTTAGCATCACTTGATTCCCCACCTGGAATTCAATCGGTTTACGACGTCTGTAGGCATAACTTTTATGTCGGTCCCGAGCTGTCTTTATTTGTTCTCGAATTCGATCTATCTTTTCTGTTGTTAATTGAAAGATCTCTGGACTAGATAATTGTTTCTCCCCTATTTCATTCCAACACAACATCGTTCGGCACTTTATGCCGTATTACAACTTCATAGGGTGCCCGCTTGAATGCTAGAATGATAAAATGTTGTTATAGGCAAACTTGATCAACAGTAAGTGGTTTTTCCATAAACTTCCAAAGTCAATAATAATACATGCTCGTAACACATCTTCAAGAGTCTGTATTGTTCGTTCACTTTGCCCATCTGTTTGTGGGTGATATGCCATACTCAACCGAATTTGAGATCTCAAATCTTTCTGAAAGTTTCCCCAGAATCTCGAGGTAAATCGGCTATACCTATCTGATATAATTGACAACGGGAGACCTTTTCGAGTTGTGATTTTTGTAGGAACCCACAACCTTAGATGCACTAGTAATTACTGTTTGATTTAATAAGTAAGCCGAAGCAACAACAATAATACTAGAATGGTTAACAGAAATCACAAAGACACAATGATATTTAAGGAAGCAGTCATGTCGATTGTAATGCTTCCCTCATTTTGAACTAATAATTAGTTACATTTGTAATGCTTACATCATGATCATGTAAGGGCACCTTTTCCTTGTCTATATCCAACCCGCTATGCGAGCTGACTAATCCCAGGGCGACCATCTGCTTTGCAGATAGCCCAAAGTCACCGCATTTGAACCTCCGTGGCCACAAGAGGATTTTTATTACTCCTTGGATTTGAACCTGAGACCTTCTGATACTTTTGACCTTGGAGTCAAGCTCAAACCAATCAGGCACCACCCTTGTGCTTCATTTCCTTATTTTATGTAATATTGTATCCGGATGTAAAAGCATTGTTTTTATATGTTATAAGTTATGCCTAAAAATTGTGTTGATTGGAATCTACCTACGAGGAGTGTTTGGAAATGAAATTCATTGATAATATAATGCCTTTCACAATTGCCCAACAAAATTATAAACCAAATCAAACTAATCCAGTAGATTTCATCTGTAGATGGGATCTAGGAGCGGATCAGATGCTTACAGATTTGACATCTACTGCAAAGAGCAGAACGAATATTTACCCAAGAGTAATGGTAACGTTAAAAGAGCAAAATATCGAGTGAATTTATCAAACAAACCCCTTCAAAAACAAGATGCATCAGAACCAGATGACTGTAAAACCAAAGCCGAAAATTCAAGATTCAGAAACAAGTGAAACCGAAACAATGAACCCTAATCTATGTTGATGGGGTTGTTCATATTGTACCCTTCTGCATTCTCCATCAATTCGGCCGGAAATTTGTTTCTAAGTATCTGAACTCGGAACTTGATCCTACTACTGCTCGATCCCCCCTCCATCAACTCAAACACACACGCATCTCCAGTGCCAAGTTTGTTATCGGTCGCAAATCCCCCCCATGATTGGTTTTGGAACCTTTTCGTAACCTGATCACCCATGTAATCAAGGTCCCATGTCTTTCCATGGCAGATGATCGTGGTGGGGACCCTAGCGGCAGGAAGCTTTTCGGACAGTTTATGTGGGATGAGCTGAATTGCATCGATGTAATAAAACCGTTCATGTTTCTTGACAACATAAGACTAACCACACCAAACCAATCCAGTAAATCCCACCCGAAGGTGGTAAGACGCATACAGACGTGATCTCTACCCCAAAGAGTAGGACAACTGTTTCTGTGAAGACCCTTGTGATCTTGACAACATAAAACTGTTGGTATTGGTTTTGAATCTGTTTTAGATATGGGAATTGAGAAATACCAGTTGAAACCTTTTTGCAAGGTGAGCTCTGCTAATAACCACATAGAAAAATGGTTTCCCTGATAATGGCCAGAATTCGGCATCTCCTTGAGGTTCAAGCATCGAGAATTCATCAGATGGTTGTCGTGGATGGGAATGGTCCTTGCCGTTTCTGCCGCCGGTTTTAGCTGCGGATTGGAGATCGAACGGGATTTGTAATGGGTTCATCTGGAAGAAAACCATTTCTTAGCTAGGACTGTTTTTGCATGATTTTATTAATCTTGGGGTTGTTCATGTCTAAAACAATAAGTTACTACCGAGTTTGACGTCGAGACAGGACATAACAAAATCGGGATTCGGGAACGGTGCGAAAAAGCCCGGTCAAAACGGACCGGACAAGCCCGGACTGGTCCGGATAGTCCCGATATGGTCAGGCTTGTTTAAGGTAATGGTTCGGTCCGGTTTGGACTGAAATGTGCAATCTTTTTGTCCATCTCTCCTACAGCAAGACCTGGTTTGAAAAAAATCTGCTGATACAGGGGCTAAACTGACAAATCTCAAATTCTTTTGACTGAGTTGGACTGAAATGAAATTCTTTTGAATATTTCGTGGCCTATCTGAAACTTTCAAAACTTCCCCTCAATCATTTTAGCGGCCAAATTATGAAATCCAGAAACCTTTTTCTAATTTACAAATTACAATCGTCTTTTTCACCCGTCAGTTTACCAGACCCGACCCGAAACCCATTTCCCGAATTCTGGCCCATCTCCATTAATGCTTCAATATGAAGCTCCGTTTTACCCCATACCTAACCTCAAACCAAATTTATATGGTGCTAAACTTAAACCGAAAATCACAGTGCCTATATTAACATCACAATCACGCTTCGATACCATCCCGAAGGCTCCCATGATTTTATAACCGGGGTTTCTCGGCGAGCCGAAACGGACCACCGCCACTGTGACGGTGAGATCAGTGACCGTTGGGTCGCAATTTTAGTCGACTAATTAAAAAACTAAAGTAATATAGAAGAACACTTTCATGAATCGGTTATAATTCATACCTTTAGATGTCTTTTGGCGCCAATCCTCACTCGAATCGACGAGACAAGTTCTGCCACTCAATCTCGCTGTGTTACGATTTCGAATGTATCGGCACGATTTCAGTAGGGTTTTCTTCCAAACAGGTTGCAGGTTCCCAAAAATTGGTCAATTATATTTTCATTTTAGGCCCCTAATCTATTCTCCCCTAACATTATTTCCCCTTCTACTTTGATTTGTTTATCTTGGAGTGACGATGTGTTGAAATTTTAGTATTTGGAGAAAAAGTGTCTCATTTGTGTAAGTGTTACAGCCGTCTAAATCTTTGAAGGATTAGAAGAGTACTCGTGCAATGTAGCGAGACATATTTCGATTTTAATGTTCTATTTTATTATTTGTCTTTGTCGATGTTATAATACGATTTTATGTGTTTTTAAGAAAGTAATAATGATTTTATCTTTAAATAAAATATAAAATTGAAGATATCATAAAAATTTGAAAAAAAAATATCAATGTTAATATCAAATCAACTATTTAAAAGTTTTATTTTTTATGTAATTTCTTTAATTTATTTTTTATTATAATATAATTTAAGTTTAATAACGAAATAATTTAATTTTGGTTTAATAGTATAACATTTTATAAAGATAATAATTAAGTATTCTGTTAGAACTCAATGATTATCCTAATTATATTTTAGATTTTTTATATTTAAAATGAGATGTTTATCTGTATTTGATCATGTTTATCTGCAGTTAGTTACACGAATTCAGATATGAAGCTTTAATAAGTTGTACTTATGCACAATCTACTTGCAATTTTGAGTTTTAAATGATATGCATTAATAAACAGTACTTTACGCATAAAAAGTGGTTTTTAAGAGTTTTTTTGTCAAATGCTTTATAATATAATATAGATAACGAGACGTTCAGAAAATTAAGAGAAAACTTAAAACTAGAGATATAACTCTAAAAACGTTTTTATTAATCAATCATAAACTAAATATTACCTAAAAACATTAAAACTTATAGACTAAGGGGTTGTTTACCAAACGCTTCCCCGGTAAGGGTTTATAAAGTCAAATTAAATTGCCGAATGAACATGCCAAGGACCAAGAATCTTGCATGGTAAGAGCAAATGCGAGGATCAAGAGTCTTACTCGATAAGTATGAGCGATGACTCTTACCACAGTAAGCGCTTACCAGGTAAATTGTAGCATACAATACCGTTTTGATAGACTAAAATCTTACCCGTTAAGTAAGTGATAGTTTTGAATTTTGTCGGTAGACACTTACCCGGGTAAGCATTTGGTAAACAACCCCTAAGCTAATTAAGAGATAACTATGAAACCTGAATTCAAATTCAATCCTAATCTTAAACCAACTATGAAATTATTTAAAAAATAATTAAAAAGAAACTAATTCTAATCTAACTATAATTAAAACTAACAAATAATTATCCTAAACTAATTAAGATACAAAATAAACAAATAAAGAAATAAAAGCAATCTGTGAAAGACTACCCAGAACGTGTGTGCGAGCTGGCATGCGGCCTAGGCAATCTGTGAACCCGTTGTCGGAAGACAACAGATGCTTCCCACGTTGCATAATTGGTTACATTTGTAATGCTTACATCATGATCATGTAAGGGCACCTTTTCCTTGCCTATATAAGGAAGGTTTCCCCCTCATTTGTAATCATCCATTGGAAAGAAAAAAAACTTCTTCCATATATCTTTTCTTATTCTTGAATTTGTTATTAAATTTCTTCTTAAGTTTAAGTTCATAGTCTTCACACATTCTTCCACATATCTTAGTCTTTTAGTCTTAATTTTTTAGTAAACTTATATTTTTATATCTTATTATCTAACATATCGTCGGATAATTAGTTTTAGTGGTTTTTTTTTTTCAACTAAGGTGTCGTCTACCAAACGCTTACCTAGTCACTTTACATTACCGGATGAATATGACAAGGACTAAGAATCTTACCCGGTAAGAACAAAGACAAAAATCTCGATTCTTACCCAGTAAGTAAAGACGATGACTCTTACTATGGTTAACGCTTACCGGGATACATTGTTGCATACGATGCGTTTTAGTGAATAAAATTTTGCCCGGTAAGTAAGCGTTAGTGTTGAATTTTACCATTAAGTACTTACCGGGTAAATATTTAGATAAACGGCCCCTAACTAAAACAAAACATTTATCAACATTATATTTTATATGATCTAAACGATTTTATGAGAATATTCTTTTAGAAAAGTAAGTATTATATTGGCAAAATCTAAGTTTCAAATTTTATTTAATTATTTTGCTCATTATATTTAAAAGATATATGTTTGTGCCATAAATATTATTGATTAAAGAGAGGGACCAAATCTAAAAACGAAAGTTGAGGGAGGGACCAAATATATTATAAAAATGAAAAATACTTTGAGGGGCCAAATCTGGTATAAGATGAAAAATAGTTGGAGGGACTAAATCTGTTAATAAAAACTAGAAGGGTATTCGTTCAATGCAGCGAGGTATATCTCGATTTTAGTGTTTCGTTTTATTCAGTTTCTATAGATGTTTTAATACGGTTTTTATATTGTTTTGAGAAAGAAATAATGTTTTTGTTTTTGAATAAAATACAAATTTGAAGATATCATAAAATTTCGAAAGTAAATATATCAATATTAGTATCAAATTAACTATTTACAAGTTTTTATTGTGTAATTCCTTTAATTCAATTTTTTCATCATAATTTAATTTAGATTTAGTAACGAAGTAATTTATTTTTGATTTAACAATATTTTTTTATAAGAATAATAATTAAGTATTTTGTTAGAACTCAATAATTATCCTAATTATTTTTTAAATTTATATTTAAAATGAAATGTTTATCTTGTAGTTGACTATGGTTATTTGCAGTTAGTTACACAAATTCAAATATGAAGTTTTAATAAGTTGTACTTATATATTTGTAATCTTGAATTTTAAGTAATATGCATAAATAAAAAGTATTTGATGAATGAAACATGTTTTTAAGAGTTTTTGTCAAATGCTTTATAATATTATATAGATGAAAGTTAAGGGAAAGGAGGGTCATTAACGGAAATTAATAATAGTGTTAGAGGGATGGACCATAGCCGTTATAAAAATGAAACTACAGGGACGTTCCTCATTTCTTTTCGTGGACCTTACTCGCTAATTTATGTAAACCACATGGATTAAGTTTGCATTTAACTCAATAAATTATTATTCAAGCTATTTAGTTATCAAAAGCAAATATAACAATTAATTATAGTTTTTAAAAAATATTAATAAATTAGGATATGTGAGATTAACCAATTTTATTTTTATTCATATTATATGTAATGAATTTAAGATCATAAATTAATGTAAATATTTTTCTAAAATTTGTTTTAACAAATCCAAAATTTATAATATACATAATAATAATTTTTAAATTTATTTTAATTAACATATTATATTATTTATTACTATCTACTTCTATATTATATTATAAAATGTTTTAATTATATTATAAAATATTATATTTGATTAATTTTTCAAGATACCCTTTTAATTATTTTACATGTTTATTAGCTAGTTTTTGCGAAAATGATTTGTTCATCGCTGGTCTATCAGTCATCATCTAACATATCAGCTAGTTTACCAAACATAACCTAAAAATAATAATTATCTTAAATCTAAAGGTTTTTTTCTTCTTATTTTCTATTTATGGTATTATATATCTATAATAAAATCGAAAAAAGAAATATTTAATCACTTTATCAATAATATTTTGAGAATCGAAAAACCAAATATTCATAATGAATACATATAAATAATATTTATTATGAATATTTGAAAATATTATTTTACTAGTACATTATTGTTTTCTTAATTACAAAAAATGGTGTCTTAACCAAAAGAGTGGTGCCTGATTGGTTTGAGTTTGACTCCAAATATCAAAAGTACCTGGAGGTCCCAGGTTCAAATCCAAGGAGGAATAAAAATCCCCTTGTGGCCACGGAGGTTCGAATGTGGTGACTCCGGGTTATCTACAAAACATGTGGTCGCCCTGGGATTAGTCGGCTTGCATAGCGAGTTGGATATTCAGGTTAATAAAAAAAATGGTATCTTTTTGTGAACAATCTAAAAGAAAATGAAAAACAACTGGTACTAAAATGATAATAATTTCAAACAAAGTATATCCAAACAACACATGAACATCATTTGTATACTTTCTATTATATTATGAAAGCTCATTTAACATGACTCAAACGCCGTTTATGGACATATGATTTTTATTGACGAATAATTTCCTCTTCATTTAACACATTTGCAAAATCCCCCAAAACAAAACGGAATCAACCCAGGTGGGCAGAAGTCACGACAATCCGGTATTCTATCTGTACATGGACGTTGCTCATCTAAAACAGAAATTTTGGTTTCTGATAAATCCCCAACATCATTGCCTGCACTTTTGGTAGAACTGTGATCTTCAACTCCTAAGACTGCCATAACAAACATAGAACACATATCATTATTCATTCTTCATATGTCCTAAAACAAACGACGACCGTAATAAACACAAACCAATAACTTAACATAGAGGGAGAGAAACCAAAGGGCCTTTGGTTCAGGGGGTATTCGGGCTTTAGGGGCACAAACTCACCGAACACGTAAATGGCGTGTAAGTTTATTTGTTATATTTGTTGTATATAAATATTACATATACTTCAAAAAGAAAGATGGAGAGAGAGAAAAACCGCAAGAACTGAGTAACAATGTGGCGAAAAAAGCAACTTTGAACAAAGCCATCGCCATACCCCTTGATTAATTGCTGCTATAAGATGTTTTTATGTTGTGAATTCTCAACTCATCTACTCGAATTTTATAGTCGTAAAATTGTATTTTCGATGTCGAAAGTTATATTTTATTTTCGTTATTTTATTACTAGAATACGTTACAAGATCTTATTTCCTAAATTATACATTTAATTTAGATATTAAAGTGATCTCTTTATTTATAAAATTTACAATATTTTATTCCTAAATTCATAATTTATACTATATTATAATGCATTTGACAAAAAAATTTAAAAACTATTTTTTATACATAAAGTA